GCAGCATTCCTGCTGCAGCCCCTATAGAAATGAACAATAGTATACTGGGAACTTGTATAACTCAACACTGGTCAGTCAGACCTTCTCATTGCTAAATACATGATGCTCAGGTATCATGGTAAACAGGACAGCATAAATGTCTGGATAGATGTGATCTGGACCAGGCGAGTTCTGAAGGGGTCTGGGTGTTTGGACTGCCTGTGTACATTGGGCAAAGCACATTTCTAAGAAAACGTTGCTGATGCTGTATGTCTGGCTAGCAAGAACCAGGCTTAAACAACAAAGAAACGCTTTAGTGTATTCCTACAGGTCTTGTGTCCAGTCCTGGTGTTTTTAAGCTTTAAAGTTTCCCAGTATTTTCTGACTTTTTGAGCAGGGTAATGTTAGTGTAGGATGTAAAGGAAGGAAAGAAGGATGGGTGTTGACATTTGGGCGCTTATGGACATTTCTTTTCCATGGTGGGCATATTATTTAGTGCTTCTCTTACAGTTAAATATCTAGTTAGGTAAAGGCTCGGGCCTATAAACTCTGTTAGCTTAGAATAGCCAGTTCTATCTTCAAATTTACTAGCCCTGCCCACTTACAAGTCCGTTTCACTTCCTTCTCATCTTCTGTAGCAAGAACTACTACTTAACTAGTTATAACCCTTGTATGGGTATTTGCTGTTTTTCAGGAGACCAGAGGGTAGCCCATGCTATTAAGTCAGCAAATAGGTGCAGGAGACAATGGGAGAAAATGTTTTAAATATAACTTACTTTTACCACCAATGTCCTCTCCCAGAATCCTCCCAGTTACCAGTGTGACTATCAAAGCCAGGGAGTTACAGAGTGGTACTGCCAGGGACAGATCTGAAATGGAACAGTTTTAACAAAAACAGTTTAAAATGGATAGTCTTGTTTTATTTGTGACTATTACAAGACAGCTGCTTGACGTTTAGCTGAGTCACCAATGTAATCAATAGCACTGATCCTCCCAAAATCCTAATCAACCCACTCCATGAAAGCAATGAGGACTAACCTGCGGAGGCCAAGGTGAGGTAGAAGAGGAGAGATCCACCTTGATTAAGCAGAAATGGCACCATGTACTGCAGGAAGAACACAAGGTGGTCAGCTACTGTTTGCAAACCCACTGTGCACCCCCCAGCAAGAAAGCAGTGAAGGAGCCCAGACCCACTGGCCCTGTGCAGGGTTTGGCAGCAGAAATGTGGCATGCCAGTGATTCCATAGCCAGTCACATGCTGCTCAATGTCTTAGTTCCCCAATCTGCAGAAGGCACACTGTGCTTATTTCATGCAACATATGAGGGTTAATGATCCGCCATCTAAGAAAGCAGTCTCAATTCTATACAGGAAGAGCAGTGCTATAGGCAGTTAAACAAAATATTACTGAAAATAAAGAATTCTGATGATAGATGGAATATTTAACAGTTTAAGTAAAAGTATCAAGTCCAGAAGTAAAGAGGTAGGAATGATCCCAAAGGCAGTTTGACACCGGGGTACCTTTGGGGCCCGGGAGCCCAGAGGGGGTCGCACCTTGTAGTTGAGTCCCAGGAAGTGGATCTCGGCCAGCAGCTG